ATTTTGTTTATTTTATATAAAATTAATTATAAAAATAATCTTATAAAAATTGTATACAAGTTAATAAAATAGATTTACATATTTATACAAATTTATCGTATCAATTCGTTTCTAATTTGTTACACGTTAATTAATATTCGTTATCGCTAATTATATCAACGGCTTCGATGCCTATACATTCTACGATCAGTTTGTCTGCACGATGGATGAAAACACAAAGCGCGAAGACTTAAAATTCATATGTCAAACGACTTATCTTCCGTCCGTATCGGAATCGTGAAACGTTTTGCATAATGGCATGATAAAACGGGTATTTTATTCATGATGTCACTTCTAGCAATTTTATAAATTTATAACTTCATAATATGTCACACTCATGTCTCATATTCGAATTAAATAATTTTTTTTTAATATTACTTTTATTTTTAATGTATGTCTTTCTGTTGTTTTTCTCATATTGTGACACTCTCATGTTCACTTATTTGAATGTTACGTACTCGTTGGGCTTGCCGTGAGGATCCTTTTCGTGCCATATAAATGTGTGAAGGATTGTCGACGCATACCTATAATACGCCAAACAAGGAGTACCGCTTTTTTTGGTAAACATAACTACGTCAAGTATGGTTGAAATGGCCAGGAGAGATACCAGACCGCAAAGTTTCGCAATCATCATCGAAAAGACATTATTGTAGAAAGCTTGCTGACCAAGTCGGAATTTTTTCTCATCGTAGAACGATGGCAATTCTGGTTTTACAGATTCGAAATTCATCGGAGTCTCGACACCTTCCTTAAGAATGATACGCAATCGTTTCTCCACTATGTCTGAAAATTTATCGAAAATATTATGCTTTTTAATAAAATTTAAAACAAAATTTAGTAAAAAATTTATCATATTTCTAAATATTTTATTTATAAACTTTAAATCGTATATGTCTACGCGTATGTGTTTTTGCTATGTTTTTTTATTTATTTTTTAATTTAATATACATTTTCTTTTGTTTTATTGTTGTAGCACATTAGAACATAGCAATATGCGCTATTTATTTCTAATTTATATTGTAGATTTTGCCAATATTTTTAAGTAAGCAATTAAACTAAATATAAATATATATATAACTAAGGTGACGTCATAAAAGAAATTCCTGCTCGAATCATCTATTGCGTGAAGCACATAATTTGGTATTTCCAAAACCACGCTTGGCGGAACAAGAGGATGCGTGTAACGATGTTGTGTGATCGCGATCGCACAAGTCGATTGAACATGTTCCGCATGTAAAAATACCGAGATCAACGTTGTTGACATCTGTATATGTGCACGTGAACGGAATAAAAAAAAACTCAGAATTTTAAAAATTTGACATAACGCGTATGTCCTATGTAATTATGTATAAAAAAATTGCAAGCGTAATTACCGTATATCTCTTATATTGACAAAAAAATCTCTATATACAATATTGACAATAATAATATTCAATATTATCATATATATATATATATTTCTTTTTATTACGCATGAATATTTGCACAAAAGTGTAAATTTTCGATAAATGTTTTAAAGAGAAAAAATAACATATATATAAATCTCATAAAAATCTAAAAACTTATTATATATATATATATCTTGATTTTATTACATTCTTGAAAAAAGCATCAAACGCTAAAACACTGAAAGTTGGCATTGGTGAAAGTTATCCAAAAATTGACATCAGTCGGAATATATTTATGTAAGATATTATAATTAAATAGTATAGTATATATTGACATGAAAAAATAACATATATATAAATCTCATAAAAATCTAAAAACTTATTATATATATATATCTTGATTTTATTACATTCTTGAAAAAAGCATCAAACGCTAAAACACTGAAAGTTGGCATTGGTGAAAGTTATCCAAAAATTGACATCAGTCGGAATATATTTATGTAAGATATTATAATTAAATAGTATAGTATATATTGACATGGGAATTTTTCTCCGATATTTAAACTTTCATTTTTCAAACGGAAACTTTGCGATTATCCAAACATTTTACTATTCGCACGTTTTATCGTATTATGTTCACAGAATATTACCTTGAAATAAGAATCTAAGAATAAACACATGTGCCTCTTCATTTCAAAATATTTGAGGCATTGCGTGATAAATGAGGATAAAACTAATGTGTATTATTTCTGCGTAGTTAAAAAATATTTGTGATTTGGTAAACGTAGAATTTACAAACTTATAAACAAATTTTGTAAATCTCTGTTATGTTCTTTTAAATAAATGAAAAAAAAGTTCAACACCAGGAAAAAATAATTATTCTAAAATTCCATTATCCTAAAATTTTTTTACTTATCTAAATACTTGTATCGACATGTGACATATCTAATATCAATGGATCTGTTGTTTATAACTAAACTGAACTGAACTGGCTGCACTAGTCCAAAGTTTATCTTCTTCACTCCACATTGGAAAAAAATGAAATAAACTCTGAACTAGTACAGCCAGTTCATCTCTTCAGCTATAAAGAACAGACCAAATATAACATGCTATATTATACATATATTGTATATATGTCGTTCATAAAATATTCAACAATGACAGTTCATAAAATGACTGAAATGAACTAGCCAGAATCTAAAACGATGTACAAATCGTTGCGTTTGACAATGTGACGGGTCGCTTGTTAGCGTTTTATAAAAAGATTAAAGTTCTTAACCAGATTGTAAAATATTTTTTTTTTCAACTATGATTTGAAAATGTGGCCGCATTTTATAAAATGCATAGACGTTTTAGAAAACGATAGATTGTGTAATCTAGCTATGACATAATAATTGACATAATACATTAATACTTGAAAACTATAAGAACTTGTTTGTTATTAACAACGCATTAATATATGAGCCGTTTATTTTGAAAGTGGCCTAAGTCCATTAATTTTTTTAATTAATATTTATGCTTTATTGATAGATAACTTGAAGTTGTACATGTAACCACGGGCAACCGGAAATAATTGACAAATGGACTTAGGCCACTTTCAAAACAAACGGCTCATATGTAATAGTTTTTTGTTATCTGTAATACCTGTTTAATTCTTTTGCATCTATGTGAACCTTTGCACCCATCAAGTATGTTTTTACCATGTTATTATCATATTGTAATAGCAAACTACGCTCAATTTATGTTGCTAAATACTTGATATGATGAACTTTGCTTAATATATGCTACGTATCTGCTGGCACGACATAATAGCAAACCAAATACTCGATTTTTGCTGCATTTTCATTGTCATACTATATATATCGACAAGCCGTGTTGTCAGAAATTAAACTTGACGAGAACATTGAATATGCTGGCATATTGCTAGCATTTTGTTATCTGGGTATTTAATAAAATATTTATTAAATATCTTCTAATTTCTAACTCAAAATTATTAACCTCAATTAAAAGATTTTTGCGGTACTAATTAGAAGAATTAGAGCTCATTAAGTTGTTTGTTCTGCAAACTGTTAAAAGGACGCAAAATTGTTCGCCTATTCATTTTCGATGTTCACGCGTTAGTATAAGTGTGCGATTTCTTTTAGCATTCCATAATTTTAATGGGACAAGTGCTGCAGCAATAAATACCAGCGAATATAAGTTGAGATTCTATTCGTACTTTCATTAGACAAGCTGTGGTTCTCTTATTAATGCTAGATGAAAACGAAAGGGAAATCTTTTTTACATAAATTCTAATCTTTTTTACATAAATTCTTCTGTTAGATTTTTATCGTCAAACATATATCTAGCAGCAAATAAGTGACTTCATATTAATTCAGTATTAATTTTATATATATTTTTCGTAAATTTTCTAATATTCATCTGTTTTCTCGAATCAAATTTAAAAAAAATAATGTAATAATTTTTATTACTTTTTGCAATTAATAATGCGAATTAGTAATGATGCACACTGTTTGCAAATATTTAGTATGTTCTGATATTTTTTGACGACTTGCGTTCTAGAAGGAAAAAACTTTTGTTACATAATAATTTCGATATTCATTCGATCATTCATATAATTTAGCACACAATTCGAAAGTCTTACATAATGCCTCATCGCGAATATATGGAAGAGAGAAAAAAAAGTTTCTCTAAATCTTTGCATGGTCCGTTAGGTACAACCCTGAAAGAGAATGTAGTTGATTCTTGATAACATTCACATGTTTCGCAATTCGTGTCGTCTTTTAATTTATATTTGATTATTATTGCTTACGCATGTTTTGTATTTCTTATACTAACAATTCTTTTGATATTGTGTGCATATATTTATAAATATATTCATAGATATGCAGTTAAAATTTATTATATGTATCTTTTGTTTTATTAAATATATATAATAAAATCACAAATAAAAAATTTGATAAAACAAATTTATTTTAATTAAAGAAAAATAGAATTAATCAAAGAAATTGAATCATTGAAATTAATGTCAGTAACTGTAATGTCAGTAACATACCATGTATAATGATAAAAGAATTGAATATCTAAAATTATTCACATCATTTCATATAAAGTTATCATGTAATTTTTAATGAGATTTGGCTAATAAATTTTTCTTTATCGCAATAGAACCAAAAACTACCCCTTTCATGCAAAATAACTGACCTTCCACAGAAACATTCTCCGGTAAATTTTCAGTCATCTTGATCTCTTTTTATCTTGACATCAGATCACGTTAGAACTGGATAATGACGGTCCACTTATAAATGAAGCACGGATTGCATTGACGAGTAGAATGATAAACCTAGAGTAAAATCTCTCATGCGGTCAAGAATTAGTATGAGATGTATTCTCTGCAAGTCTCGATATCGTACTAACTACATTCCTTGATACATGACGGAGCTCTCTTACAGAAGTCGATTTCCAGTCGCACGTCTTCTGGAGAAAGGAACCCCTTCCACTTTCTCACGTTACATAATGCATGTCCAACAAATCTATTGAATGCATAGGATAAAAGTGGTACGTGATATCACGTCGCTTTCACAACAAGAAAACAGGAAAATGTTCCTAATCATCCATCATTATCGGATGTAAGCGTCGCACGAATGCACTCGCGGATTGTGCCGTGTCCCGTGCTAAAATTTCGTCGCTTTCAATCTCGCTGAAAGGGAATCTTGCACTATTCACTAAATTATGATTGCTCGCGCAAATCGTCGTTTCACACCGGAAAAGCCCGCGTCACTGTCGCAAATTGATCAACGTCGACAGGTGGTCGACGGAAATCGACTTTGTTTCGTGGGAATAGTCTAGCGAGTGAGAGTTACTGCTCGGCTCGTTTGGCACAAACGGAAGAGGAAAGTCCTCCCACCTTCGTTCTTCCAGCATCGAATCTTTCTACACGGAACCAAGTATCGAAATGGTCCCTCCTCGTGATAGCGGAAATATATTGATCATTACGAATCAAGCTGCATTTTTACTACTGTCGGTTTTGATTACAATCTACTCATTTTTAAGAAATATAAAAGATATAAGATTATGAATCCCGTGATTATGAACTAAAACTATAATACATAAATGTATCTTTGATCGAAAAAATATTTTCATCGAGCAAATGTATAACTTATAATATCGAATATTAATGATCTAAGCCATATATAAATTTGTGTACATTTATAGACATGTAAATAAGTATATGCATCCACAAATGTTTATTACAATCGATTTTTAATACATGAAATCAAAATATGCCAGTAAAATTGCAAAAAATTATTGATAATGGAAAAATATGTATCATTGCTTAAGAAATTAAGGCTCCTGAGTAGTCGCCGCGGCCATATTGGAATGATGACGTCAGAAGCGAGAAATGACACGCTGAGAATTCTTGCGTGCCATTTTTAAATAAAAAGATATTTTAAAGAAACAAGACTACAGATCGCTTTAGTATACTCGTAAAATTGTCCGAAAACTAAGCTTTTCCTTTGACAATTAATAAATAACCGTAAAATGAGTGTCAAAGTAAGCCTAGTCATACGGGAAAACATGTAGTTTGACAGCTGTCGAAAGAAGTGGAAAATGTTCTTTTTACATAATACTTTTCTTGCTAAGCTTAGTTTTCGGACAATTTTATAAGTTTCACGAATACGTTACACATCACAAAACTAGCATAAAGCGAATAATTACGAAATGGCACGCAAGAATAATTTGGGCTGTCAAAACGTCACTTTTCACGCCTCATAGTT